CCAAATCCATTCAAGAGATGATGAGTTTGATTTCGTCAAACATGCTAAAAATATAATAAATGATATGTTTTTTTTGGGTCAAATGAATGAACATGTTATTACCATAGAGAGTTACATAAAAACCCAATACAAAAGTTAGAAAATTGAAAACAAGGGCTCAACAAAATAAAAGCTCAATCCAAAATACAAATAATTTAGGCCCTAAAGAACAAAAGAACTCCCAAGACACAAAAATCCTTGAATCAAACCCTAGCAACGACAAGCGGCCGTAGTGAGAAGAAGAAGAAGAAGGTTTAGGGGAACCAACAAATGGAACCCGTAGTCTACAGCAGAGCCATACAAAAACCTTTGAGCTACTTGATCCTGGAGGGAAACTAATTGTGCTTCTAAGTTGACCACCTGCAATTCAAAGCAAAAGCATATATGTTCAATTTGAACACCTAATTATATACAATATGAATATAAATCGATATTAACCTGTTGTTGGAGAACAAAAATTTGCGAAACGCATCCATATATTGGATCTTCAAGCTTGGCTTGAGCTTCATAAATCCTAAAGCGAAAACAGAGAAGGAGAAATTATGGGTGACAGTTGTTTCCTCACCCGCAAATCCCGAAGCGGAAATTGCGAGAAAAGAGAAGCGGAAATTACGGAGTGGAAGTGGGTTTGTGAGACGTGTCGACAGCTCCAAGATAATGATGGAGACATATAGCTCGAGGTAGAAAGCCTGAAATTACGGGTGTGGAGCTCGAGGAACGCGGGAAAAATTAGAAATGGGTGTCATAATGGACGTTTATAAAAGGAAACAAGGGGAGAAAAATATCACAACTCAGGAAAAAAAAAAAAAAAAAAAACCTAGCTCCGCCAATTTTCTTCCTTCCTATTTCTCTCTATCTAAACCTATCTCCTCCAACTCATAAATAAAATGGCGTCTTCCTTCCCATTTTCTCTTGATCTAAACCTAGCTCCGTCAACTCAGACATGGGGACAAGGGGCTGCACCAGTGTGGATGCCCTACTTTGCTTCCTTATGAGGACCAGTTACAATAAACAACTCATTACTCCTTAACAACGATGTTGCCATTGAATTTGAGAGGAGTTTGGTAAGTCCCAGGGATGTGCGCATGCTAGGAACAAGGGATGATAACCGAGTGGTCAGTGAAGTCGTGGCATTGAGCGTGCAAAGTGTGATCAGTCGCAAGTGTAGGTCATCGCCTCATTATGAAATCCTATGAGGTGCAAGTGCTAAGAGCTCAGTTGGTGGCATAACGGAATTTGGTTGAAGATAGGCAGAGTGTTATAAGGAGATTGAAAAGGGAAAGTGCAAAGACGTTGGAGGAGATGCGACATCAGCTTGAAATATTATAAGAAAAGAATAAAAAGCTACCAAATATGGTAGATTTTTATTCTAAAGACATGCAAGAGCGGCTAGAGACTGTGGATAACCCAGGGAAGCGCAAAAGAGAGCACGAGAGGAGTTTTGTGAAAGGGTAGAGGGTGATCTTTGGACGCTCAAGTGATGAGCCCCAAGAAGAGGTGTGTGAAAACCCAACAGAGGAGGTCCAGAGGGCCAAACTATAGTCTCATGTTGTGGAAACATGAAGCGTGTCATGTTGATGTTGTTCTTGTTTTTATATGTTTTTATATGTTTTTTTTAATTTTAATTTTCAGTGATGCAGTACCTTTTTTTTATATTTATTTATAAAGAAATAATTTTTTAAGTAATCAACGGTCATTGAAGCTTATGGTTCTTTTTATTAAACAGGTTATTAACCAGGTAATCTGTTTAAGAAGACCCGAACCGGAAACAATACATTTATTAAATGAGTTGGCTTTGGGTTGAGCATTCTTGACACGTTTATTATCTTGACACGACACGACTCATTGCCCGCCCTACCTGTAGAGTGTAGATTAGGGAAACATGCCACCAACATGAATCATGCTTAAGCAATCCATGTCAACATCGACCATTAAACTACAGTGCCCACACCTCCATATCAAGATCTCAAATATGAGGAGGGGTTGTAGGGGAGAAACAACAGCACCAAACTAGTAGACAACCAAGAAAATTTTAGG